TTGGTCTGCATGGGCCCCATGAGGTCAATGTTCCAGACGCGTTCGTCGCGTGGTTCTGCGCTTCTCGAGATTGCGAATGTCGGTGCTGCGCGCATGTTGTCGACCTTGCATCGGCAGTCGCTGACCTTGTCGCCGGTCAGGGTCCAGTTGTGGTCCTTGGCCGTCGCGGTCTGGACCTTGTCCCCGCAGTGGCCCATGCCGAGGTGCAGGAACCGCCGCGTCGCGCTGGCTCCGGCTGGTAGTTTCGATGGTGCGTTCTCGAGGGCGCGAGGTCGTAGTAGGGGCGGCGGGGCGGGTACCGACATCATCGGCGCCATCGTCGCCGATGGCGCGAGCTTGGCGGCGGCCACGGACGCGCGGCCCATGGCCCGCGCCGAGATGGCGTCCGCCATGACGTCGACGATCGCGTTGCCCACGTGTCGCTGTTGTTGCTCACGCGGTAGTCTCGGGTCGATCGTGACGCCCATAGCTGACGCGGCTTCGGTCACGAGGACGTGCGACGCACGGCCAGGATGAGAGGGACGCTCCACGATCATGTTGGGCGTGTCCTGGCCGAAGGTGCGGGGCGACATGAGTCTGGAGGCGTCGTGTACGTTGACTGTCCGCGCAAGGTGTGCGGTGACTTCGTTCTTGTCGACCTCGACCGTGGTCGGGTTGGAGCGTTCGTCGCGCATGAGCTTGACCGTGTGCTGGCGGACCTCGAGCACGGACCACGGGTCGCCGCTCCCCCGGATGCGGACTCGGGAGCCCGCGGTGACCTTGTCTCCGGGCTTGGTCGTGATCGTGGCGACGATGAGTGGCGAATATGGGTCTTCGTCCTTGGCCCGCCGGGGTGCCTCGAGGCGCTTGAACTCCCCCGGAAGGAACGCTTCCTCCGGGACCTCGCTGGCGGGGAGCAGGTGCTGCTCTAGCCGTTGAGGAGTTGCGTACAGCTTCGATTTCTCGATTTCGGCGAGGTTGCCGAGCTCGATGTTCGCGGGCTCGTAGTGCCGGTGGATTGTATCGTGCTCATGCTGCTATTAGAGGATGGGTCACTAGAGCCGCAGCGCCGTCGTTGCCGCGCGCGATGCGCGGTCAGCTAACTGCACCAGACGAAGCTGTCAACCTCCAGTTCAAGGCCGAGGTGGAGCGCGGAAACGCTCAGGTCAGAGGAATAATCCTGATGATAAAGAGACAGATGAGCCAAGCATTACATGCCCGTGATGTCGAACTCGTCGAGGCGCCGCCAGCCTGGGAACTTAGAGGCGTCGACGGACCACACCAGGGTGCTACCGGCGTCCTTCACCTCCAGGGGGGAGCCTCGGCAGGAAGACGCGCACCACACGCACGACCGCCTGGCCGCCGCCTCGCAACAGCATCATCAACTGTGACGCGTCAACCGACATCAAGAATCAACGGCGTCCAGCTCATTTTTGGCGCCTCGTGTCCGAAGACTGAGGCAGACGCCTCGAACTCGCCTTTCCGCGACGCCATGCGGATCCTCTACGCCCTGGTCGCCGCGACGGCCTTCGCCTTCGCCCCCGCCGCCCCGCCGAGGACAGCCGTCGCCCCGGGCGCGACGCGACGAGGGCGCGACGGGAAGATCTACGTCGGCGAACCGGAGCCCATCGAGCAGGTGGGCGACCTGCTGCGCAACCTCGGGCGGGGCCTCGAGCAGGGCGCGCGGGGCGTCATGGACGACGTCTTCGGCAAGCAGCCCGTGCTGAACCCGATCCCCATCGAGATGCCCCCCGAGGAGCCGGAGGCGATCCCGGAGAAGGACCCCTTCGACTTCCCGCCGCCGAGCCGACCACACGGCGGCGACTGGGGCCTGGACAGGTTCTAGGGCCGCGGCGCCGCCGCCGACGCTGTACACATTCGCCGCCGATCGAGGCGGTCCGCGCGGTTCGGGCGCGGCCCGTTCGAACGCGCGGCGCGCGTTCCCCGCTGGTCATAACGGAGCGCTCGCCTGTGCCTCGCGGCTCCCCGGGGCGCGGGGTCCACGTAGGGACGTCGAGACAAAACACCGGGTTACACGTCCCCCCCCCCGTCGAAGGCCCCGCGCCTCGCCTCCGCGAACGTC